CTCACAGTTTTTTAGGTATTTACAACTGAGACTGTTTGTCAAATCCAACTCTGAATGTTTTCCCCTGGGCCCATCTCAGACTCTTGTCAAGGAAATTTTAGACTGCCAGACATTTCCAAAGAGCATTTAGAGTAAAGTGTACACCCGGCTCAGCTGACGCAATCGGACCAGTCTGGATGTTTTTAAACTGAATGAGGGGCTAGGGTGGGTTTTTTGTTTTGAGAAACTTTTTCTGTTAAAAGTTATGAAGAAAGTATGAAAAAGACTGCTACAAACATGTGTTGGTCCTCGGGGGCCCCTTGTGGCCTGGGGGTCCCAAGTGTTTGCCTGTAGCACACAGTGCCTCGGTCTAAAAGGGAAATGGCCTACAACCCAAACCTCAGAGGTTACTGCAGTTACATATGTGCCCTTTCACCGGTTTTCTCAATACTGAGTCTGCTGTATCAAACCACAAATGTGTCCAGTCCAATAGCTATCTTACCAATTACTATAATGACTACAGTGTCATAATTGCAAAGATACAATGTAGTGTTTTCTTTTTCATTTGGCTTTCTGCACAGTGTCTAAATTAGAAAGGAGGCTTGGCTCAGGATCTCCAATATCATAAGAGGGATTGTCATTTAACTGCTGTTGCCCTGAAGATGATGCACATGCCAAGTTGCCAAACGGAGCTGCAGGCAGCCTCCCAGATCACACAAGGTATGTGCAAGTGCGCACTCTGCCACGCACAGAGTGAGGCACGTGTGTTTTCCTGACTTCACACACCTCACATGACTTTCCTCATGCTGAAACAACTGTGAACAGCTGCAAAAGAACTGTGTCTGAGTGACAGCAGCTGTCAGGTATCTGACCATCAGTCTCTTCTTCTATTCAGGGACACAGAGGGGTTAAATTCAATTCAATTCAAAAATACTTTATTAATCCCAGAGGGAAATTTATTGCTGTAGTAGCTCAGAATAATAATAATCAAGTCGTCAAAGAGTTATTGTATATTACAGTGGCAGTTGGCAGGAAGGATCTCCAGTAGCGGTCAGTGTTGCAGCGAAACTGAAGAAGCCTCTGACTGAAGACACTCTTCCGTTGTCGGACAATCTTGTGAAGAGAAAACTCAGGGTTGTCCATCATTTTCTTGATTCTCTGGAGAATCCTTCTTTGCATTATCTCCTCCAGTGGTTCAGAAACTGCCAAAACTCTGGCTGAGTCCTTGAAAGGGCTTGGAGTTCATCCATCTTGTTGGCCAGTGATCTCACATTGCCCATTATGATCGATGGAAGAGATGGTTTGAATTTCCTCTTTCTCTGTCTCCGTTTTGCTCCCGCTCTGCGCCCACGCTTCTTGCGTTTTAGCTCATTTGGGATTTGTGGCTTCAGTTGAGGTATTATTTCAGCCTTTCCAACATTAATCAGCTGCTCCCGATTGTAAACCAGACTGTTGCCATGGTTACGCATCATAACAAATGCTCAAAAAGTGAACAAAAAGCTAAAAAATAGCAGTAAAAATCCTCCAAGCTTAACAGCACCAGAAACAGAAAAGTAAAGTGTCCAAAAAATACAGTTTTTCTTGAGAAACTAGAAGAAAAAATGTCCAAGAAAAGGCAAAACTTACATATGGTCAACACAGCTACTCCAACATGCAGCCACTCAGAGCAGCGCAGTTCCAGGAAAAAAGGGCAGTTCCGGAAAAAAAGCAGGGACAGAGCTCTAAATGAGATAACAAAGACAAATGAGAACTTGCATGCAACACTGTCTGCTGATGTATCATTGTATAGAAGTTCTTGTTATCCATCCACCTATTCTCTTCCACTTATCTGGAGTTGGGTCATGGGGTCAACAGCCTAAGTCGAGAAGCCCAGACTTCCCTCTCCCCAGCCACTTTGGCTAGCTCTTCCGGGAGAATCCCAAGGCGTTCCCTGGCCAGGTGAGAGACATAGTCCCTCCAAAGTGTCCTGGGTCTACCTTTAGGTCTCCTCCTGGTTAGACATGCCTGGAAAACCTCACCAGGGAGGCATCCAGGAGGCATCCTGACCAGATGCCCAAGCCACCTCAACTGGGTCCTCTCGATGTTTAGGAGCAGCAGGTCTACTCCGAGCCCCTCCTAGACCGAGCTTCTCACCCTATCTCTAAGAAAGAGCCCAGCCACCCTGCAGAAATGCCTTTTAGCTGCTTGTATCCGCGATCTCGTTCTTTCAGTCACTACCCAAAGCTTGTCATCATAGGTGAGGGTAAGAACGTAGATCGAGCGGTAAATCGAGAGCTTCGCCTTCTGGCTCAGCTCTCTCTTCACCACGACAGATCAGTATAACTCCCACATCACTGCAGACGCAGCACCAATCCGCCTGTCGATCTCGCGCTCCATCTATCCTTCACTCATGAACAAGACCCCAAGATACTTAAACTCCTCCACTTGAGGCAAGACCTCATCCCTGACCTAGAGAAGGCTTTCTACCCTTTTCTACCATTTTATTTTTGCTGTGATTCTCCAAGTGAAATCCTTCCTTCTATATTCATTTTATAATAACCATGTTGTGATGTACAAAAACAAATTTTAGGTCCGTGATTCTATCGTTGCCCTATTTTTCTCCACTATATATTGCTATATTATATTATCTTGCTTTTTAACACCGATTATATAATTGTATCTCACTGTTTGATTTATTTTATGCAGTTTTTTTCATTGTTGTATCTTGTGTCTGTTCATCACTTTGATCAGCTGCCATGCTCTTTTAAAACATGCTATAAAATAAACTTGTCATGGTATAGTATATTGTTTATGTAACTAGTGCATAATTATAAAACACAGATAGTATTTCATGGTTGTTAAAACATAAACTTTAATTTCCAAACCACAGAAACAGAAATTGCAGTAACCAAATCTGACCACGGGATGTCACTATAACTCATTCTTACGCAGTGGCGGCTGGTGAAAAATATTTTTGGTGGGGCTGTGCTATTTTCTATTTTTAAACAAACTTGTGCTTTCTGAGCTTTGTGCACAACTTCACTATTTCCTGAATTAAGTACAGCTCTTTTATTTCCTGTCTTACATCATTGGACAAACTGATTAATCCAGGTGTGTCTGACTATTGCACATAAAATAACATGACCATAAATGGTAAATAGGCAATGCAAGAGGCAAGTAACAAAAACATTTTTGTTATTATGAGCAGGTCTGTTACAGTAATGGTGGTAAACACTACTTAGACAAAATGCCAGAAATTTACACTGTTAAATATTTCTGGAGTGTTGTGCTAAGGTCAACTTTATACAAAGATCAAGTGGATGCATTTGTGTGTGTGTGTGTGTGTGTGTGTGTGTGTGTGTGTGTGTGTGTGTGTGTGTGTGTGTGTGTGTGTGTGTGTGTGTGTGTGTGTGTGTGTGTGTGTGTGTGTGTGTGTGTGTGTGTGTGTGTGTGTGTGTGTGTGATACCTCATTTGTACAGAAATTTTGCCCTTCTGTCCTTCTGAGTGGCAAAGCTCTCGATGACCTTTTTATTAAAAGTCAGGAATGTTTGTGACAAGCTTTTTTTCCATGGAGAGCATGGCAAGAGCATTCAGCCGATCCTGTGTCATGGTGTTCCTCAGGAAAGTCTTAATCCTCTTTAAAGTAGAAAAGCACCTCTGATTCGGCTGTGGTCATGGGTGTGGTGACAAGAATCTTCAAAAGAGTGACAGTCTCTGTGAACGTGCTTTGAAGATTGTTCTCCATGAAAAACTGGAAGAGTCAGTGCACCAGTGCAAGCCCTGAACTCATGGTTCTCATAGATGAGGGATAGCGCTGTTCTGAGCTTAGCTTTGTTCAGCATGGGGTAGGCCTCTACAGTGGTCGCCAGTGCTGCATCTGGGAACTGCGCTGTGTGTTGCACAAACAAGTCACTTTGTAGCAGAGTGGCAGCAACGAGGTGCTTGGTAAAAGAGAATTGCTCTTTTGCATGGCTCAGGATGATGTCACAAACCTGTCATATGATAAATAAAAAACAACAGATAAGTACATAGGAAACACTTTCATAGGAAATAATGTCATCAGTATCCTCTTACAAATGTCATATTTCCCAGTTTTTGGGAAAATAAAACATTTCAGATTCTCAATGAGATGGTTTTACTTCAAATGTAAAAACATCTCATTGAGAATCAGAAATGTTTTATTGTCCCAAAAGCTGGGAAATTTGTTTGCTGCAGCAGAAGTGTAACAAGTAAAATGGAATCAGATTGATGTATGTACAAATATACATGAAATACACATTTACGTGATTAAATATGTATAATATGTGTGTTGAAATTAGTTTTTACAGTTATTGCACATTAAACAATGTACATGTTATTAAACAAATGTCCCTGTTTGTGGGACAACCAAGGATTTCTGATTCTGATTGTCTTGCTCACAGAAATGTAATGTACAGCTTACCTCTGCACCCAGCTGCAGTTGTTCTCCCTGTCCAAACGTCCTCCGTTTCTTCCGTTTCCCTCGTCGAGCTGCATGGCAACGTTAGCTCTGCCTAGCATGGCTAGCTTCACCGTGTTGTCCATGTGTGCCCGGGATGACTCGTGAGCTCCAGTGGTCAAGACTGTCGAGCTCAACCCGAACATCAACGAACAGCCTTGGGCGGTAGCTCTATCGCCCTTGGGCTTCCGAATCGACGACGCTGGTTGGATGCATTCCCATTCCTATGAGTTTGATTTTCTTGTCAGCAATTGGCTGGCTGCTTCACTGCCGTTTGGGCGATCTTTCTGTCGCCTCCACAGCTCGGCAGGGAGCTTCTCACCAATGAGATATATATATATATATATATATATATATATATATATATATATATATATATATATATATATATATATATATATATATATATATTCATATATATATATATACATATATATATATATATGATTTATTTTTGTTACAAAACACACAATTAACTTAGAATATGTGATTATTGTTAATTTTATTTATTTATTTTTTTAAATAAAAATTTAAAACACTGGGGAAAATTGGGGGGGGGGGGGGGGGTGTCGCCCTCTAGTGGCCAGCCACCACATGCTCTCAAATTTAGAGGAGCTGATTCTTGATTCAGAGTTTTTGTTAAATTGTATTCATTTCCCCCAAGATCATAAAACTTCTGACAAAATGGTTATGCATGTTTTATTACATTTATATTTTTGTACCACTATAATATGAAGGGCCAATGGAAAGCTGTCAAGCAGAAACCTTTCCACAGGAGTTGGATCAGTCCAGTGCACAAAGTGAAATGCCTTCTTTGTTCCACCAGGGGGAAGTGGGGCATTACAGTTCACAAAGGTTTGACAGGCCAGTGCTTCCCAGCAGACAATGACTCTTTTGTTTTCAACAAAACATGAAGATGACACATTTCTGTAACACTATGTTGACCCATAAAACAAATCCTGATGAATGAGAATCACTTTGTCCTCATAATGATGTAATCCTTATAGAAATCTCTCTGGGGGTGGCAGTCCGGTGTGACTCTACTGTCATCGGTGGGTTAACTTCTGACAGACTGCTGTGCTGTCCTTCGTACTGCCATAATGACCCAGGCTTATCTGCTGAGACCTTGAGGAGGTCTGAGCTGCTAGTTTGACAGGAGGACATAGGAGGTCCTGAGTAGTTGAGGGGACAGGAGTCCAGGTGTCCAGGTAAGAAGGGCTGCTCATTCTCATGTCCAGGAAAAGCAGCATGAGACAGCTGAGGACAATAGTTGTACAGCTGCTGGCCTCTGTGAAGGAAGAGGCAATAAGATGTTTACATAAACTTTTTTAAAATAAAATTTTATGCCTTTATTTAAGATAAAAATTTTCCCACACCTGCAGGGTCGCATGTTTTCACACTGTGCTGGATAAGCAGCATCCCATGAAGGAAGCGTCTTCTCCTGAGTGTTGTTGTTGTTGTTGTTGTTGTTGTTGTTGTTCCGGCCTTTATGAGAGTGGCTGACTTCCTGCTGCTCAGCGTCTGCTTCTCTGCTGTTTACAACATGATTTAGTTAACAGAAAATGGGGCGTCAGGTGTGATTGTGAAACATGTTTTCATAAACTACTTTTAACTTTGATTTGACTTCATCTCAGGTGAAAACACAAAATGTTTCAAGCACACAAGAGCATCCAATCTTTTTTTTTTAATTTCTTGTTCTCTAGGATAAATGTCAAACTCCTAGTAGTTTTTCCACTAATGTGACTCATGTCCTCCATTCTTACTCCATCTTAATCGAGTGGATTATTCTTGACCTCAGGTGTTGAGCATGCTACAGTTGGGTAAAGTGTGAAACAGTGCATACTGATGACTGCAGGCCCAAGCTCACTTCAGTTTTAATTAAAAGAGATGTTTTTTTCAAAATCTGCTGGAATCAGATCGAAGAGTGGCTGGGCTCTCCCTTAGAGATAGGGTGAGAAGCTCGGTCATTCGGGAGGGGCTCGGAGTAGACCCGCTGCTCTTCCACATCGAGAGGAGCCAGTTGAGGTGGCTCGGGCATCTGGTCAGGATGCCTCCCGGACGCCTCCCTGATGAGGTTTTCCGGGCACATCCAACCGGGAGGAGACCTAAAGGTAGACCCAGGACATGGTGGGGGGACTGTGTCTCTCACCTGGCCAGGGAACGCCTTGGGATTCGCCCGGAGGAGCTGGCCCAAGTGGCTGGGGAGAGGGAAGTCTGGGCCTCTCGCCTTAGGCTACTGCCCCCATGACCCGACTCCGGATAAGCGGAAGAAAATGAATGGATGGATGGATGGATGGATGGATGGATGGATGGATGGATGGATGCAAGAATCAGCATGGACTCCCTCACCTGTCAAACCTTTTCTTTGAGTCTTCTTTGATGCAGTTGAGTAAACAGCAGGTGATAAACGCCACAGACAGAAGCAGTATGATGCCTGAGCTAATGATGGATGACAGGACAGCCACACGGAAACCATAATCTTCATAGAAGGACAGAGCTGCAGTGTAACAGAGGAATAACGGTTACTTTAGCTAACCTTTTGAGAGAAACTATAAAATCTAGCTTTTCTGATCTCTGCTTACGTTGACAGTAGGTTTGCCCCACCCACTGGGTGCTGTTGGAACCCATAACACACATCAGATCTTTGCCCACCAGTTTGTGTCTGGCTGGACACTGCAGAGAAACGATAGATCCTACATTGGTGCCATTGCCCTGAATGATCCTTTGGGTGCCCAGTGCTGGCAGTGGGATGGGGGAGCACTGAAGCTGCCAATGATCTAAAACAGAGCGAACCAGGGGGGTGAGTCAGTGAGGAACACAACTGGGGACAACATCACTGTGCTATGGAAATATCTTTGCTTAGCAAGTAGTTTGTATGTGGCTGTAAAACACTGTTTGTTTACAGTTGGAAATAGCTTAGAGCCTTTAAAATTTGTCAGTGCTCACAACTTGTATTTTTTGGACACTTAACTTTTCTGTTTCTGGTGCTGTGAAGCTTGGAGGATTTTTACTGCTAATTTATTTGAGCTTTTTTCACTTTTTGAGCATTTGTTATGATGTGTAACCATGGCAACAGTCTGGTTTACAATCGGGAGCAGCTGATTAACATGGGTAAGGCTGAAATAATACCTCAACTGAAGCCACAAATCCCAAATGAGCTAAAACGCAAGAAGCGTGGATGCAGAGCGGGAGCAAAACGAGACAGAGAAAGAAGAAATTCAAACCATCTCTTCCATCGATCATAATGGGCAATGTGAGATCACTGGCCAACAAGATGGAGGAACTCCAAGCCCTTTCAAGGACTCAGCCATAGTTTTGGAACCACTAGAGGAGATAATGCAAAGAAGGATTCTCCAGAAAATCAAGAAAACTATGGACAACCCTGAGTTTTCTCTTCACAAGACTGTCCGACAACAGAAGAGTGTCTTCAGTCAGAGGCTTCTTCAGTTTTGCTGCAACACTGACCGCTACTGGAGATCCTGCCAACAGCCATTGTAATATACAATAACTCTTTGATGACTTGATTATTATTATTATTCTGAGCTACTACAGCAATCAATTTCCTTCTGGGATTAATCAAGTATTTTTGAATTGAATTGAGTTGAATTAAAACATGATGCACATGTTCACCTTAGGCTGAAACTTGAATGGGACTTGGGAAAAAAACTACTCTCGCCATGCTCATCACATTTGTAACACAAACAAGGTCACGCTGCTTTCATATAACGGACTGCCCACACACCCAGTTATCCCATAATGTGTCCATTATGAATCATGTCAGAGATCTAAAACCCATTTCAGAGCACAGAAAGACTTCATCATCTGTGTCTATTTATATTTAATAAGACAAAAGTCCAAAACAGTTCAAGTTAAAACATCTACCTTTCTTCCCGGCTCGACTCTTATCCGTTTTCTTCAACTCAGTCCTGGATCCATCCGCTGTTGCGGCCGTGGCTCCGGACATGATGACGGGCGGACGGACGCTTCCACCGCCGGATTAATGTGCGTAAAGAGGCAGGGGTACCGGTGCGCTCCTGCCACATAGGCTAAATTCTTATTTCATTACCGGTGACGGCACGGACGCGTTGGGTTTCCTCCCTGTGGTGTGGCGGGTCAGTCAAGAGTCCAAGACTGAGCACAAAAAAAAAAAAATTAAAAAAAAGGGATGTGCATAAACAAGTCACCTTTTTAGAAAGTGCCAAAATATTCTAGATTATTATTCCTAAAATGTTCTCGGTTGAATGTTTTACTTGTGCAGAAATATGTGTCATTTCAGAGAGAAACCCTACCGCCTGCTTCAGAGAACATGATGTTTGTGCATCATGACTGGTTCTAGAACCCAAAATGATTCTGAACATCCGGTTCCTCCGCCCGTCGTGCAGAGGGTTTTCACTTCCTTCACCGAGCTGAGGCACACCTGCTGGTTTCAACAAGCTCAAACTATTTTAACGACAGTTTAAAACATGTTACAAGGACATTTTGCAAGCCCCTCTTTTCAGTGTCAGCAGAAATTAATTTTCATAAATGAACGGGATTTTGAAAAGACAATTCAAACAGAAAAATCCACAAGCTTCTTCTTACACTCACTGTCCACTTTATTGGGCACACTTTAGTACTGGGTTGGACCCCTTCATACTTTCAGAACTGCCTTAATCCTTCATGGCATAGATTCAGCAAGGTACTGGAAACGTTCTTCAGAGATTCTGGTCCATATTGACATGATAGCATCAGCGGTTGCTGCACATTTGTTGGCTGCACATCGATGATGCGGATCTCCCGTTCCCACCACATCCCAAAGGTGCTCTAGTGGATTGAGATCTTGTGACTGTGGAGGCCATCTGAGTACAGTGAACTCATTGTAAAGTTCAAGAAATCAGTCTGAGATGAGGGTTTATGACATGGTGGATTATCCTGCTGGAAGTAGCCATCAGAAGATGGGTACACTGTGGGGATGGACATGGTCAGCAACAATACTCCGATAAGCTGTGGTGTTGAAACGATGATCAATTAGTACTAAGGGTCCAAAAGCATGCCAAGAAAATGTCCCCCACACCATTACACCACCACCACCAGCCTAAACCGTTGATACAAGGCAGACTGGATCCATGCTTTCATGTTGTTGATGCCAAATTCTGTCCCTACTATTCGAATGTCGCAGCAGAAATTGAGACTCAGGCCAGTCCCAAAGTAACAATGTAGCATGCCTAAATGCATTGAGTTGCCACCATGTGATTGGCTGATTAGTAAGTTGTGTTAATGAGCTGTTGGACAGGTGTACCCAGTAAAGTGGCCATTGAGTGTATATTTTCATTTGGAATGTTTTATTTATTTTAAGTGGGACAGTCAGAGATAACAGAATTGTGGGAATGGGCCCCTCAGTCAGCACCCTGCCAAATAAATAACCGCGGCACAAATTCTGACGGTTTTATCAAGGTAGCAGGTGACAGATGCTCAAGTAGACAAGGTGCAGCTCTTCCATACTTACGTTTTTTCACAAATTCCATCAAATAGTGTTATCAACTACACCGATCTCACAGGAATTCAGGATTTATAAAAGTTAAAGTTCTAACTAAAACTAATTGGGTCATAACCTTAAGGAAGATGTAATTTTGACGACATTGTGTCTGTGCCAGGCCAGCTCATATATAGCCTTAGTAAACTTGTTTTCATTCATCGCGTTGTGTTTTGTAGTGGAGCAAAACACTTCTTGTCCTCCATTTGAGTTTTGTGCGACTGCAGAGTCATGTGAGTGAAACCCAACAATTAGTCCAGCATCCTTACACAAGATTTCATGTCGGGAATTTCTATTTGGATCAGCAGCCCCGTTAGTATTTGGACGTGGAATTGCATCCACATTTGATCATTGGGACAGATGTATATGACAGCACAGACATCATATACTGTAGACGCCTGTGGACGGGTCTCCATTTGCCCCCAGTGCATTGATTTCTACTGAGGAAGGTGTTTACCAAACTAAAAAACACATTTATTACACTTTTTCACAAAACCAGACATATGGTATGTGTAACGTGATAGTTAAAAATATAAAATCCCAACTGGTAGGCTTGAAAAGGCAATAATAGTCCCATAAGATCTGTTTTCAATAGTACGCCAGTTGTTGAAACCGTAGGCTGTACAAAAAAAATGAGTGTCGTTGCTCACTCTGCTTAGACTCCAGTTGGGCTTGGAGGAACCCACTCAATATAGTGGCAATGCTGCTCTCCAGCACCCAATGGCGTGTCATGTCTATGAGTGACGGGACAGTGGAACCTCAGGGGGCCAATCAGATTTTAGCTGGGGCCACTACACCTGTGGCCCCACCACTAAAACACTAATGGAAAGCTTCAGGAGTTGCTTATTAATTTGATCTGTTTAGTTCTACAAACTCAGACAGGGAGCAGCCAACACTGAGTCTGATAAAGGAGCAGCAGTTAACCCTTTGATGCATGAATTATGAAATCTTCAACCATGATTTTTTTAACAATTTTTTTCATTCGTCTTTAGGTGTGAATGAAACAAATTTCAACAAATATTTTTTGTAAAATTTTATAATTTACAAATAATTTATTACATGTCCACCTCAGTGGACAGCGTGCATTCTGAGCATGAAATATGTTGGCTTGGCTTACTGAAGTCCAAATGGAGGGGCTCAAATGCAATAAAGTCTTCAACAGCTGTGCTTAATAGCAAAAATAAATAAAAAACAATTTTGAGTACCTGTCCACTGTAGTGACCATTATGCATCAAAGGGTTAATATTATTGTTGTTCTTCTCTGGTGTGCACCCATTTTTACCTTCAGCCCATTTCTGTCTGTGTGTGTGTGTGTGTGTGTGTGTGTGTGTGTGTGTGTGTGTGTGTGTGTGTGTGTGTGTGTGTGTGTGTGTGTGTGATCTCTGTTCTTTCATGTCTATAAGCATTACATGTTATTACAAAGACTATTTGGAGAACATGACGCTGCAGGATGTCCCCTTTGTGCTGATTCATCCTAAAAGAGCCTTTTCTGATGAAACGTTTTAGATGTACGAAGCTTTTCTGGGCCGTGTTTGAGGACACGCACATTGTTATTTCATTTTCCTGTGTCTCACTTGACCTTTTCTTTAAGAACTACAGCCAGATAACCCAGTCACATTCGTAACAGGTTATGACTACAGGTAAAGCTAGCTGATGATGTTTTAACCCGTCTGTGTAAGACTCTCATGAATATCTGCTATGAAATAAAACATTCACTTTCTTTTTTTACGTACAGCTGTTTTTATATTTCTAGAAGGTGATAAAAGTCTAAGGGTTAATGGAGTCATGATGAGTTATTATGGAGTTATTATGAGGTCATTCTGACCACTCTCACACTCACACACAGCACCTGCATTTACAACATAGCTGAGTCAAAACTCCAGCCATCATGCTGCAATAAATATTACTCCTTAGAGCAGCTGTACCTTTTAGTGTGAAAATGGGGACATTTATTTTTTTTACTTCTGAAAATAAAACATAGACACCAGTAATGCAAACGAGGAGGGTAGCTGTACAGCACAACCTCAGAAAACATTAAAGTAGCAGGAAGCTGTTGAAACCACTTCCTGTAAAGGAATGGAGAAGTGTCTAGCTGCTCGACCAGAAAATGCAAACAGGTTTCAGCTTTGTAAGTGTCTGCTGGTGTTGCAACCCACAGTGACTGGTGTTTTTAAGTCTGAGTGAACGTTTTGAGGGAAAATGCAAATAAGTATCGCTGAATTCCTCATTCTGTTAGAATGAGCATTTAAAGTTGAACTTGAAGCCAGAATGAGAAAATGCTTCTTCACTACTCCAATAATTGCTCTCACATTAACAGTTTTATTTGCAGAATGTTTCAGCCAAAAATCCCTGAAAAAACAGATGTGTACTGCATGAGATTACTCTCAGACATGCTGTTATTTGCAAGCAGCTGTTGAGCCTAATGCTGCATTTAGCAGCTGAAAAACACATTTGAACGACAAATTCACTTTCAATTTCTAACCGCTCTGAACATCTGTTTGCTGCCCTAACCCTAAAATTTTAAACTGTTTTTGGCACTTTTCACGGCAGTTCAAATGTTTCCCAAGAGTCTGTCCTCTCTAACAAAAATCCACTTATTACAGAGAATTTCAAACACACACCATGAGATCATTTAGAGGATTTAGCAATGGCTCGTGGCCATCTGAAGACACTGCTAGTGTGGCTAAAGAGAGATTAGAGGTGGATGGAAGGATTTTCCTCTACTTTCTGTATTCTCAATGTAGGTCAGAATGGGTGTGACTTTAGGTGCCCGAGAAAACAAATAGGAATTGAGCCTAAATTAAAGAAATAAAAAATATAAACATTTAGTATCATTATGTCAGCCAGAGGTTTCATATTTATGGTGTAAGCTCATTTCATTAACAATCTGTGTTTGTATGAATTTAAATGCCTTTTTGATGAATAAGAACT